GAAAGGTAGCTGTGTGGTTGAGTCCGACATTTCCCCTCTGACTGCACGATGGCCCCAAGTGTCCTGACCCATCTCTGTCAACATGCAGGCTGCAGCAATTTATGTATGCCTTATTGCTGTCCCATTCCCCATCTCCATCTGTGAGAGATAAGTTTTGCTTATTAAATTTGTGTTAAAAAAAAACAACACTAGCACCAACAGTTAATATGATAAAATAAAATCCATCAGCTTGAGGCTGGACCTCTGGGTCTGATCAATGAGGGGAAAAATGCAAAGCTCTGCATTTAGATATCAATCAATCACAGACATGAACAGGAAAAAACTGGCAGACCTAGTTGTATGGGGAAAAAATTCTGGGAGGTTTAGTGGATTGCCTGTTCAGTTTGAGGCAGCGCCCAGGACTGCAGTCAAGACACACAAGGAAGCAGGAGTGGAATTTATGTAAGAAAAATGTCTTCTATCCCAAAAGGCCAGCATATTACAGTCTTTCTGTTGGGATGCACAGAAAAGCTCATCACCAGTATAAGAAACTGGAATAAACAGGTCCCCAGGGACATGCATAGAAACCATGAATGCAGTTTGAACAGAGCTACAAGAAAAATGCCTTCTAGTGCTAGATAGTCTGAGAAGTCCAGGTGTGCTGCTCTAGCAAGCAAAGCACAGGTAATTGGTTGACGGCAGAAAAGATGCTTCCCAAAAGGCAACTTTTCACCAATTCCAGAGTCCAATAATGGCTGGTTCACCTAGGGAGACAACACTCTTTCCTGGTATCGAGGATGACTTGTGATGTCAGGAGGATCTTTAAAGTGACTTCATCTCTTCAAGGTTAGGATTCTGTTACATCATACTGCAAATCTCACTATGTTGGGGGTTATCTCCGGTGGGTCTCATAGTAACACAGACAGCAGACCACAGGGCTCTCAGATTCTTCCCCTTGATCAGCCATTATTTCCTGGAGCATAGGCAGCACAAGGCACCTGCTGAGTTCCCCTCAGGGGCATTTTCTTCATCTCTAACCTGCGTTCAAATATGCCAATGAATCCCAATTTTCAGTGTCTGCACTCCTGTCAGGGGTAGTGCCATCTCCCCGCTTCCCAGAGCTGACTTGCTCTCATTTTTCTACATCCAGAAACCCCGTTCCTCAAGATGTCACAGTTCTAACATTCCCTGTTCCTGCTCAGCTCTGAACCAGGCACTGTCACCTCACAGTTGTGACACTGCCCCATCCCTAAGTCTGCCCATCTCTCCTTCCTCTACCCCCCCCCCATTTTACATGCCATGTCACTTCTTTGTCCTACTGTCCCAATAGGAAACTTTCAGCAACAGCTCCAAGGAGCAAGCATTGAGACACAGAGGCACTGTGGCCAGGACTCCCCCAACTCAGGTTCAATAGCAGGGACTTTGCAGGAGGAGGGAAGTCTGGCCACCTCCACACCAGTACATAGTAAGTTTGGAGATCTGTGTGATCAGCAACCTGGGGCACAGCTGAAGGAAGCAGATACAGAGCAGGCAAGCATCAGAAGTATCCCTGAAAACTGGGAAAGAGGTGAGGGTTTGCTAGTCATGAAGCCCCTGGAGCCACCCCAGTGGGCCAGAGACCGAGTTAGGGTGGGGAAAGGCCAAGCTGTACGTAGTGAATCATCTTACCTCAATTAATTAGAATTCCAGATGTATGAAGAGAAAAAACCCACACCCCGTGACCAGTCATGGGATGGGCATCTGCCTCTCACCTCTCACTGGCAAGTTTAAAGATGGGCTCTTATAAATAAAAATAAACTACTGAAAACACTTCTTTCTTTTAAAAAGTCATTATTTGGCTTCAAGTGCCTCGTTTTCTCTGGCTATGAGTTTCAAATATCTGCAAATATGCATTGCATAATGACCCTCTGGCAGGCTGCAAAATCACATCTTGTTGCCTTTCATGGAAGGGAAAGAATTATGAAAACAATGACAAGGTCTTTCTAACCCACTACTTTATCAGCTCTGTGCCTGTTTAAGGCAAAGAGGACATCAAAGCAAAGCTCTCAGGTGAGAGAGAATTTGACTCTGTCAAAGGAAAATGCTGGTACCCAGGCTACCCTGGATTTAACTCAACTTGAGCTGGGAAGATCTTTTGCAGCTGATTCACCCCAGTTTACAGATTTAGAGAGGGGATAGACTTTGTTCTCAAAACCTAAGGTCTTGGTGCAGCTACTGCTTTCAGATGCTTCACTATGCAGAGTGGTGTTGGGGAGAAGTCTCTGCAGATAGTGCTCTGGTTTTGTAAAGAGGGGATTTCATTAGAACTATCCAGAGAATAAATTTAATGGCTACTGCTGTTGTTGAATTTCAGCCATTGGCCTGGAACTGAGCATACCCTGCAGGATCACGCAAGACTTTCGTCTGACATCACCTTGAGTTAGGACACGGGCTGTGGGTGTCACCAGGGTCCTTCTGTCGAACAGCAGTAGGAGCCCCAAGGCACAGGCTGGCTCTTGGCTGTTTTCCTGTTCTCATGGTGTCAAGAGCCAGTGACTATTACGAACCTGCCTTTGGAAAGATTAAAGATGGAGACAGAAGTCCCTGCTGGTCCAGTGCTCCCCAGCTGGGTGGGGAAGCAGCCCTGGGGAACCAGAAAGTAAGCACACACTATGTGTGCCTTGCAAGGAAAGCACAATTCCTCCAAACTCATCTTTTGAGGCTTTCCAATGATTTCTCCATGTTAGTTAGAAATGCAGTGAGGATTTTTCTATGTATTGTTTCAGTTATTTTCCCTACAACATGATTCCAAAGAACAATTGCCCCATAGTTGTTGCAATACCACAGGCTGGGCACCAAGAGGTGTGTTCATTACCGCTGTTCTTTTTTTACTCATCTCCTTTTTCTCCCTGTTACCTTCTCTCACTTCTCTTCCCATCATTGTGCTTTATTCCCTTACTCCGTTTGTGCTGCTAAAACAAAATACCTGTGACTAGGTAGTTTGTCAAGAACAGAATTTTATTTCTTACAGTATAGGAGGCTGGGAAATCCGAGACCAAGGTGCTAGCTGGTGAGGACTTAGTCCCTCTACTTCCAAGATGAGGGTAGAGACTCGATACCTCAACACCTCCTCAAAAGCTACACCTCCCAATACTGGTACATTGAGATCAACTTTCTAGCACATGGCTTGGGGGACACACTCAGACCATGACACCCTCTATCTTCTCTGCCCAGACTGATTCTCTTCCCTGTTCCCACCCCACCACCCCAATCTTGCCCTCATTCTATTTCCTTCCTGGAAAGGTAATAAGAGTCTCACTTTCCTACCGCTGAGTATACTAGGTTTCATGATCTTTTAGGACCAGGACTGGTTGTTGGAGTTTATTATAGCCATGATAAGCTTATAATGAAACTACTGATTTATTAATTCAGTTGTCATATGTACCACAAAGTCCATTTTTATTGTAAAATTTCCGCCCATCTCACTAGCTTTTAGGTCCTCAAGACCATTCAGGGAGCTTTGGGGAGGGATCAATGAACATGCAGGTTGGAAAGGGCTCCCAATAGACACACGGAAAACACAAACACTGAAACCGGATATCAGATACTAATCTTCCCTCCGCCTGGCTAAGTCATCCCAGTAAACTCAACATTCCACTATCCTCCTAAGGTCACTTGTATCAGTTTCAAAATAGAGTCACTTCCATTTTCCATAGGAAAAAAAAAGAAAAGGGAGGGCAGGTTTTCAATCTCCTGAGAGAAACCATAGCTTTTTCTACTATGAAACAGGAAAAAAAAAATTCTCATCAGTAATAGAGAGGAAGGAAAATGGAGGAAACAGGGGTGGGGGGAAATCAAGGCCCTGGGACCCAGGAGGCGTGCACAGAGAACAAGCTATCCTGCCACATGAGGGCACCATCGCCAGGAGCCTGGAAGCCTGAAAGTGAATGTACAGCCCAAGACAAGAACCACGCTGGCCACACACTAATCAGTCATAGCTGAGTGATCTGGGGGACAGTAAAGTCCCCAAGAAGTAACATAAGGAACAAGAGCCGAGAATGTGGTTCAACCAGCGTCCATGGTCTTGCCTAAGTCAGGGTGGGCAGTGAACATGGGATAGAGAGGGTCTGGCTGACCACATCCCCTGCAAGGACCCAAGAAAATTATGTTCACTCTGCAATCTGTTCAAATTCCACATCTGGTCCCCAAGATGCTCCCTGCTCAACCCTCTGCCCAGGGTAACTTCTCTCCTCTCCCACACCCCTACCCTAGCCTTGCTGCACCACACACCTGCCCAGGAGAGGACTCTTCACTTCTCCCCCCAACACCCTCCAGCCAGGTCATTAACATCCTCACCACCCAGAACCTAAAGGGGACAAGGCCAGACCTTCACCTAGCTTCAGGCACACTGAGTGAAGAGGTGGATCTGCCTCCTGGCAGCACTTCCACAGGGTGTGGGGGAAATCTCAAGTAAAGCCACAGCTGGGCAGGTGTATGCCAAGAAAAATTGATTAGATTCTTATAACCAAGTGTGATTTCCTCAACTACAAAATAAGGACATTATTTCCTTGAGAATGATTTCACAAGGATTAAGTTAGATTATGCTTGTAAGACACCTAGCATGGTGCCTGGTACACCTTTAATAAATGTTGGTTGGTTTTATAACTGATGGTAGAGGCAATCTCAAATTCTTTAATGTACACATATTGATGTGCATATACATGTGCACAACATTTGAAGAGGTACATAAGTATCTTAACAGATAAGAACATGAAATACAGGAGGTACATAGATACTACAGCTATAGTATTATGTTGTAACATTGAAAACTAAAGGTGCCAAACCCATTTGATTACAGCTGAATAAAGCTGAATTGAAATTTCATAAACTGTTTGCAGATTTAAATTACACTTGAATTGTAAAGTAGTAATCCTCCTTATACTGAGACAGGATTTCATTTTTCCAAACCATCTCAGAGAAAGTAAAAGAAAGGCATACGGTATGCAAACCGAACAAAATATTCAATCATAATTTTCTCTTACCTTTGAGCCAACAAGAGTGTACAGCCACTGAATGGTTTCATTGTGGTTTATTACTCCGTTCATCCCATCCACGTACAACATAATCTGGCCCAAAGCTATAGAAAGAAAAAAGGAGACATTATGGACATCTATATAAACAATGATCACAATATTGAGATTTTCATACTTAAGTACACAGTATCTTAGGAACCACATCTGAAAAGTACTGAGCTTTGAAATTAGCTAAATCTCGTTTCAGAGAGAAAGTATTGGCTAAATCAAAATAAAGGATATATTCCTTACATGTGGAAGACACATGAAAATACCAAATCCAGTGATTGTCATTTATGTGTACCTTAATGAATAAATGCATACTTTCCTGTACTTCTGTGTAACCCAGACAGGACAAAGATAGCATGCAATGGTGTCTGGCCCCCCCCCATTGGAGCCAAGAGGACCCAGAGTGGGTCAGCAGGTCCTACAGGACCACCACAAGCTAATTCAATTTTATTCCCTTAAATAACTAAGTGCATGTTTAGTACTTATAATTTCCTTTGAAGATTTTTCCGATTTTCTGATGTCTGTTATGGGAAAGTCATTTGTTATACACCAAGTTCCTTTTTCTTTGGAGGGGGGGGCACTTACTGGGGATTGAACCCAGAGATGATTAACCACTGAGCCACATCCTCAGCTCTTCTTTTATTCTTTCAGAAAGGGTCTCACTAAGTTGCTTAGGGCCTCACTAGGTTGTTGAGACTGACTTTGGATTTTTGATCCTTCTCAGCCTCTCCAGCCACTGGGATTACAGGTATGCATCACCACGCTCACCCACCAAGTCTTAATTCACATATTGTCATTGTCCAAAAAGCAAATGCAAGCCGGACACAATGGTGCATGCCTGTAATCCCAGAAGCTTGGGAGGTTGAGGCAGGAGGATCACAAGATCAAAGCCAGCCTCAGCAACTTAGCGAGGTGCTAAGCAACTCAGTGAGACGCTGTCTCTAAAATACAAAATAGGGCTGGGGATGTGGCTCAGTGATCAAATGCCCCTAAATTCGATCCCCGGTATAAAAAAAAGGCACAATTACAAGTCATATTGCTTTTTAAACATTAATTCCATTTTTTCAGCTCCATTTCATCAAAATAATTTGGACTCTAGATAATGAATAGAGTAACACCCAACATGAGTAGGTTTCCTTAAGTCGTGTGATCTCAATCATTTCATCCTTAATTGATATAACATTGATATTGTTAGGCAACTTTTTTTATTTTGCTGGTAGCAGTAGGACATCTCATTTTAGAAATTTGGAAAAACAGATGAATAAAATGAAAATTCATAATTCCATAACTTAACGATAATTCTTAATACGGTGATAGTTCTTTTAATCTTTTTTATGCATTATATACAATAGGAAGTTTACACATAGGTTGTAGGAAACAATATGTAAAATGGTGGTGACTGAAAATGGCAAGTCGGAATACTGAGTATGCACCAATTTTAATTATACAATTCTGTGACATTAGAAAATTATCCTATACAGAAAATGACCAAACAATAATGATTCTGAAAACTGCTATGCACATGAACTCAAAAAATTTTTAGATGATTTTGACATAACCTTGACACAATCAACAGTATATATTTGGGAATAAAACCATTGTAATTAGTGGTAAAACACTGGACATATTCCTATTAAAATCAGGAATATTTTTAAATGATGGTAACTTAAGTCTATGATAATTTAACACTACAGAATTTCAGACGAATTTAGTAAGATAAAAAGTCATTAATAAGAGGTAGAATGGTCGGAAATGAATACATAATATTGTCATTTGTTAATATAGGCAAAAATTCATAAAAAGATCACAATTATTTCTCACCTTAGATATAACATACCGAGAAAATCAAGTCTGATATAAAAATGTAATACCAGATTATGTATATAACAGCAAATATAACATTAGATTAATTTCTTGTGTTAATAGCTCAAATTACCTGTTAAGAAAACACTAAATGCCAATAGAAGGCAAAATCATTTCATAAGCTGGTTTACACACAAAATCATTCACTCTGGCTATAGTGAAACACAAATTGAGACAATTATGAAATAGCATGTTAAGTTGGCAATATATTTTTAAGAGAAATGACACTTCAGAGGTTAAGTAACTTCATATCCCTGATGTTAAGGCAAACAGTAGAAACCCTGGTAGGATATTTTGTGCTATATTTTTTTTTTAAATTACCAGTTATTTAGTGTTGTGTATAAGCTCTGAGGGGGGGATTTTAGGCATGTTATTATTTTAACAGTCTGCATAATGGTTATTAGTACTCCTATTTGATGGGGGAAAAAGCAGACTGAGAAGTGAAGGAATGTGACCAAGTCTTCATCACTGGCACATGACTAGCTTTTAAAAAAAAAAAAAAATCAAGTCAATCAATCAACACTGTGACCAGCCAGGTTCCAGAACTCAAAGCTATGCCCCAGTCAATAAAATGTTTGATAATTAAAAAGCAGGTATAAAAGTGTATCAGTTCAATGAAACATTCAAATCCTTGTACCTAGCAGGAAAGTTCATAAAATATTAAGCATTAAGACTGAATATATGGTCTTTGGATGTACTTTTTCCTACTCCTGTTTTCCCATTTTCAAGTATGAAAATCACTTCTGTAATAGGAAAGTAAACAATATGTAAAAGGGGAAAAAATAAGATTGAGTAAGGTTGCGAGATGCTTTTTTCATAGTTTTTTTTTTTTTTTTTTGGCAGGGGCGAAGGGAGTGGGTACCAGGGATTGAACTCAGGACAGTTGGCCACTGAGCCACATCTCCAGCCCTGTGTTGTATTTTATTTAGAGACAAGGTCTCACTGAATTGCTTAGTGCTTCGCTTTTGCTGAGGCTGGCTGTGAACTCGTGATCCTCCTGCCTCAGTCTCCTGAGCCACTGGGATTACAGGCTTGTGCCAACACACCCAGCTGTTTTTAGAATCTTTGACTCGTCCCCATCCATCCTCCTTCCGAGAGATGCAGCCCCAACTTCATGGAGGAGCCGAGAGAATTCAGCACATCCTGCCCACATTTTCCCCACTTTTCCTCCCAAAGGGTCAAGACTCTAGGGAAGGGGAATTGGCCCCACAGCCCTTTTCCAGTTCTCAGTTTCACTGTTGAAAAGCCAATCTTGAAGTACATTTTAGCATTTTCTAATATATACATATCAACTTAATGGCACAGGAAGATAAATGGGCTCTTCAAATTTCTGGAAAGTACAGCCTATGGAGAGGACCAACCCTGAAAACAGATAAGCTAGGAATAAATGTCTCTACCTAACTGCTCACGGTTTATTAGGGCATGAATGTCTAGAAGTTGGGAGACTACTACAGAAGGAAGAAGACCAATGAAGAGTTAACCACCAACTTCATTTTCCCCAAAACTATACGAACTGATCTCACTCGAGAAGTGTGTACCAGAAAGTTCATGTCCAATTCAAGTTCCTGATCACACTGACTTGGCATCCAATTTTGACATGCAAAATCCAAGCTTGCCTGCTGGTACCCAGTCTTCATGCTGAAGCAATCCTTCCTGCAAAATCCACTCCAGACACAAGATGGCACTAAATAGACTCAAGTGGGTTAATGTCGTGCTAGGATTCAACAGCAGATTCAGCAACCTGCAGGTGGACTGAGAATAAAACCCACAATGGAAAAGTAGACGTCCTAAAAAACAGACTGTTATAGGAGCCATGAAAATTAACGATCTGAGTTTTTCTGCCACTCGTGGAACTTAATCTTGGCATAATTATCGATTTTTCTGTGCATTGACTTCTCAATTTCAAAAATGAGTAGTTCTATAGTACCTATGTTGTAGGGATTCAGTTAGAACAGTACCTGACCCACAGTAAGTTCTCAATGAATCGTAACCTTAAATATTACCTCACTACCATCAAACTTCACTCCTGCACCATCAGAAGCATGTCTTAAACGCTTCCTTAAGGCACAAGGCTGGGGAGCGAGCCCTCCAGCCCTCACAGCTGGCCTTACTCAACTGTTCACCATGAGATGCAATGCAATAACTCTTCTAACCCAAACTCACCAAAATTGTGTTCTTGTAAGACATTTGGAGTTTTACTTTCTGCATAACTACATGATAAAGTTTGAGATAATTTTTGTATAAAGTATGAGGTTTAGATCGAGTTTGGTTTTTTTTAAATATGGATGTCCGACTGATCTAACACCGTTTAAGAGACTTCCTTTCTCTAATTGCTTTTGCAAATTTGCCAAAAATCACTTGGCTGTGTTTACCTGGGTCTCTTTCCGTTCCACTAGTCTATTTGGCCCTAGGCAAGACCCATTATCAGAAGTACCGGGAATGTGATTCCTCCCACTTCTCTCAGCTTTTCAAAATTGCTATTTTTGTTATTTTGCCTTTTCACATAAGTTCTAGCAGCAACAAAAACTGTTTCTGAAAATATTGGAACTATGTGTAGGTAAATTTTGGGAGAACTGACATCCTTGCTCTATGTTGAGTTCACATACCCAGTAGGCCTATTTAGATTCTGTATTTTGTTAGTTTAATTTTTAACTACAATTCTACTACACATTTTCTGTTAAATTCATGTTTTTTGGAGCTACTGTAAATGGTATTTTAAAAACACTTCCATTCCCAGTTTTTTTATTAGTATAAAGAAACAAAATTGGTGTGTTAGCCTCAGATCCTATAGCAATTTTATTAATTCTTGGATGTTTTGGGTTTTACTGATTTGTTTTTGTGGATTCCACTGCATTTTCTATATAGACAATGTTGTGTTGTGAACAAGAACAGTTTCTTCCTTTCCAATTTATACCAGTTGCTGTGCCTTACTGCACTGGTCAAGACTGAGTATAATGTTGAATAGGAGTAGCTGGGTGGGCTTGCCTTGTTCCCAGTATTGGGGGGAGTCATTAGTCTTTCACTAGCATAAGGTTCGATGTAGGTTCTTGTAAACTACCTTTTACCAAGGTAAGAAAATTTCCTCCAATTTCTAGTTTGCTAAGAGTTTGTTGAGTCCGGAAAATCATTTGACAAAACTCATCAACTCATACGATGTGGGTTTCCTTCAGACTGTTAAAGTAGTGCGTTACAC